ATATGATTTTTCGCAAGTATCAAAGTTTCTTGGTATTCATATTAATAATAATTTAAAGGGGTCTGATCATATCTCTATCTCACTATCACCAACTTTTGTTGCGCACAATAAAACCCAAACTCGGTTTAAATTGCTTACTTTCAGTTTATTATAGCAACTTTTATTCTCACGTTTCATACGGCATCCAATTCTGGGGTTTTTTATCCGAACTAATTAAAATGCTTCAGAAAAGAATTATTCGAATAATTTTTTTCTTGCCCAGTAAAGCCTCCTACAGACCCATATTTAAAAAACACAATATTCTAACTGTCCCATGCATTTTTCTGCTGGTAACATTATCTTTCATCAACAATTCAAAACTTTTTGATATGGCTTCGTCCTTCTTAAACTACAACACTAGACACAAACTTATTAAGGCGCGCACATATAAATTAGCCAGCTCTTTCAATACGATCGACGGTCTAGGTATTCAGCTTATGAATAAACTTCCACTCAATATCCGAAACTTAGACAGCAAAAAATTTCATGCTTCCCTAGTTAAACTTTTTAAAGAATAAGCTTTTTATGATATTACTGAATTTTCTCAATTTGATTTCAATAACTGTTTTCTTGCATAATCCTTATCCTTTATCTATGTAGCCTGACCATTTATTTGATCGCCTGTACAACCATGTTTTTTATTGCTATTTTATTAATTTAAATTTTTTACGGTTTTAAATGAGTATAATTTTCAACCTTGTGCAAGAATTTTGATCTTAACTGGTGGTCAGATAGACTTTAATATGATGAACTTGATGATGAACATTGTATTTAATGTTCGAATGCTTCTTTTCAGCTCTTTTTTCAGAAGCGAAATTCGTGCAGCTACTATGATTATTATAAAATTGCTATCCTTTTAATATTAATTATAAATATGCTTGATAAGGGCCTGAAATAATATCTATTATTATTGATTACGGCTTCCTTATGAATAAATAAATAAATAAATAAATAAATAAAATAAACTGAGCTTCCTTATTTGCTAATATTACCTCCAAATTCTCCGCAATTACTTCAATTTTTCAGTGCTGATGATTGCAACGTGTTTATAGCCAAACGTATTTCTTTTTTATTTTCTTTAAAAAGTGAATCTGCAGCTTCTAACATAATTTCACTAACTCTTCATCTGTAAATGGTTTTTTATTCTTAGCTAGCAAATGCACTATTTTATCACTTCACTCAATAAGTCCGTAGGATAACACATAGATGATGTAGCTATGTATTCATTCATATGATTTGTAGAAAGAAACAACTTTAGGTAGATATATATCAAAATTTCATGACAATCCGACGATTAGTTTACATGTTACAGATTTTCAAGTGACGCTACTTTTGAGTTTTTTGAAACCATGAATTCAAAGCAATTTTGTGGGATGATTTATCATTAATTTTTGATGGGTCAAAATACCATTGCTGCCAAAGTATCGCTTGAGAAGTGTTATCTGGACTGTTCCAAATCGAGGAAGATAGTGAAGAAGTGGTTTACTGATTTTAATCGTGGCCATACAGCATACAGTCACTGACGACGCTGAACGCTCTGAAAGGACAATTGAGGTGATTACACCGGAAAATATCAAAAAAGTCCACCTTAACGTTTTGGAAAACCCTGTGCAAAATAGGTGCCGCGCGAATTCACATTTGACCAAAAGCATAACGAGTTGATGATTCGTAATATTTGGAGCTGCTTAATCGAAAAAAAACTGAGTTTTTCCATCAACATGTCACCATGGATATGACCTGGTTTCCACACTGCACTCCGGAATCGAATAGACAGTTAGCCGAGTGGACTTGAGACGATGAAGAGAAAAAACGCAACCAATCAGCTGGCAAGGTTATGGCGTCAGTTTTTTGGGATACGCAAGAAATGATCTTTATCATCTATCTTGAAAAAAGCCAGACCATCAACAGTGATTATTGTATAACGTTATTGGGACATTTCAAGATCAAAATCTGAAAAACGGCTCCATTTGAAAAACAAAATTGTGCTGCTCCATCAGGACAATGCACCGTGAAAACAGTGGCCAAAAAAACATGAAATAGGCTCCGAATCGCTTTCCCACTCACTATACTCTCTAGATCTGTTGCCCAGCGACCATATCCTGTTCTCAGATCTCAAAAGAATGCTCGCTCTAAAGAAATTTTTGCCAGATGATGAGATGATGGCCAAATTTCGTGACTAAGTATAAATCGTACTACAAAAATGGTTTCGAAAAGATCGAAGTTCACTATAATTGGAATATAGTCTTCGAAGAAAACTATATTGAATAAAAAAAAGAATTGTGCCAAAAAAATGTTTTTTTTCTTAGTTATCCTACGGACTTATTGAGTGATGGGTTATATGTCGCAATCGTAGCTCCTTTATGTTGTTGTAGCATTTTAGTAAAAAAAACTTTGCTTAGTTTGAAAAGTTTGATTAGTCATTGAAAATTTTAAGGATTTTTTTTCTTCTAATTTCAGAGTCACTATCAAAATTGGTTTGAAAAAAAATTCACGGTTTTAATATGTTACTTTTCTTTAGAATCGCAAAACCCTTATTACGCAACAAGCAAATATACTTCCCTTTATTATCAACGAAACAATATAGATGTTTTCATTAATCGTCAAAATAATATGTTCTTATTTTTTTACATTTATTTATGATTAATTTGAAATTACTTGATAGTTTTAAAAACACTGTCACTGGAGGCCGTGGTGAACCATGTGACGAAAAATTTTCGATTGGTTTACACAGACTATTCCATCCCCAAAAATAGCACACTAATTGCTGACTGAATAGCTGATCATAAGTATCTTAAGACAAGATCTAGTAAGCCGATAACAAGCGGCGTTTCATTTTTTTTAACTATCGACCACGTGCTTCTTAGCTGATGAGCAATAAAGGACCAGAACAGGAGTTGTGTAATGTAGGCTTGAGTAAACTGCTATGGCTATCATACCTTTATATTAACCGACCTATGCTCTAGGTTATTCATCATTAGCATTGATAACGTTCGCGTAGCTGATCATAAGTACTCTTCAATACCATTGGGATTGTGGTTTATTTCCATTTGCTTCTATTGCCTGATTTCATTTATATTTACTAAACAGATGAAATAATCGTCGGGTGATCATGAGGTTTTTTCTGACTGGGGGAATTTAAATTATAGCATTTTTTTCCCTTCTGGATAATGATGTGAACATAGTACTCAACTTTTTTACACAGTACAAAGAACCTATGTTTTATCGTGATTGCGCAATTCACTTTTAAAGTGGTTGAAATACGATGCTTTGCGCAGTTCCACATAGGTGTTCGGTATTTATCGAAAACATATTGACATAAGATGTAACAAAAACTATCTGGATTATGCACATGAAATCTTAAAGCATACCAAAAACAGTAGATAAAACTCTTGGTTATCCGGTAAACTGTGATATTGGTATTGAATTGGGTTAGTTCTCTAAAACCCGAAAACTGAAGCTGTCACGAAAAAATGGAAGGTATATTTAAAATTAGCATGCAGTTTTAAGTAGATTTAAACAAAAGTTTGAGGAAAAAGTAAAAGTGCCATTTTCGTGTGCCAAGTGCTGTGCGCTGTGTGCCATTTGAAAACGTTTAACATTCTTCAAATATTACCTATAAATATGTACGGGATGCTTCAGCAATTTGCCTTAAAGCACGATGCCATGCGCGATTTGCAAAATAAATATTTGATTCTTCATTCATTAATAATATATTTTTTCTTGTTTTTTTGTTGAGTATATAGATTAACTGATATTTTTTATTGCAACATGCACTAAACAAATGTATCGATAAATCTTTTTCGTTTTAAGTATTTTTAACTTCCCGAAGGAGAAGTTTATGTTTTCACCCAAAAAATCCGATTTGCTAATTAACTTCCCATAGGAATCGCAAAAAATTGAAAATGAAAATGTTTATATATCTTTACGTTTCACAGGTTTCTGAATATTTTGGCATACCTTAGAAAAAATTGATGTATGTGTATGTGTGTGTGCGTGCGCGTATGTGTGTGTGCATGCGTGTATGTGTGTGTGTGCGGATACAAAATTTCGTCGACGATTTCGGGAACACGGATGAAGCGATTTGAATAATTACAAAAACATTCGATTTGTATTGATAAGGAGACGTGCTGATTAGTTTTTGGCGAAGGCAGGTCTAGCCGTTCCGAAGCTACGGGACAAAAAGTGCCAAAAACGGTAACTCAGTTTTTAAGAGAACGGAGCGTCCGATTTTAATAATTCTAAAAACATTTTACTTGTATTTACAAGATGAAGAACTGATCAAATTTTCATTAAGGCAGGTCTAGCGGTTTTGGAGATCTAGTAAAAAAAGTAAAAAAAAATGCCATTTGGCGGTCAAAAATAATCATTAGACATATGCACATTAAATTATATTATTTTATAGAGATTTTAACAATAAGTATAAATTTTGTTTACATTCCTATGGGTTCCGTACCAATGCTTATAAGTTAGACGGCGGCGGGGCCCTTACGCGCTTCGATATTTCGTCTCTATGCAGTTAAAGCAGTACGATTGTTTTGAAAAAAAGTTCTGAATTTCCAAAATATTTCAAAATAAATTTTTCTTCAAAAAGTCTTTTTTTTTCAAAAAATAGTAAATTTTTGTCAAAAATATATAGTTTCTCAAAAATCTAATTTTTTCAGAGTAAATTTTTTTCAAAAATGTTAATCTTTTTCAAATTGGTACGGGAAGTACCAGCAATTTGCCTTAAGGCACGATGCCATGCGTCCCACTAGTTTTATGTTTTCTCGACGTTTTAAGCCATTCTGAATCGAATGAGACCAAATTTGCGTGTTTTTTGTGTATGTGTGAACCGTTTTCGGACCTTTTGTCGACGTTTTCTCAAATATATATAAATATCTTGACATATCAAATAATATTAAACAAAAAACATCTATTATTAGTTATAAATAATTTGAAATAAATTCTATTTTTTCTATGAAATGGATGAAATGATAGAAATATTTTTTAAAGATGTATTTGCTGTATTGGATCGAGATAGTTTGCTCAAATTTAAATGCAGAAACAACCTCTTAAAGTATCTAGATACTATTATCGAAGCTGCAGCTCAATCGGACAATGTAGACATGGATACAGTATGCCACAAGGTATTTTCATGCTAGTAGCTGTTATTGTATGGTGGATAGGAACGGAATAAAAAATCTCATAAAAAAGTAATCGAAAATTTTATAAATTCTTACATATTCGTCGGTCAGTGCACTAATATGGCTACACTGGCTAACTCCACCCTTTGAAAAAAACTCAGATATTAGTGTGAAAGTTTTTGGTATAATCACTGTTTGTATTTATAATAACTTTCCAGAATAAAAATTAGCACAGTTAAATGTTTTTTTGACCATTCAATAATGAGTAGTACAGATGACAAAAGTTTAGCAAAAATATAAGTGTTAGCCATATGTGAGCCTTAAAAATTTATACCTTGTTTGATAAAAGTTATCAAAGCTTGCACTCCAAACTTTGAAAAAAAATTCTTTTGTGTAGCAGACAAAACAGTAATAAAAAATCTGTTTTAAGTTTATCAAAACTTGTACAAAGCACAGAAATAGAAGCCGAGTTTCAAATTAAAATTTTTGTATAGAAACTAAACTGACGACTGACTCATATTGATCTGAACTTTATGAAAAGTAAATGACGATTGACCAAAGACTTTATAAGAGCTCGACCTCAATGTGATCCTAGATAACATTATTTTACAACTTGTTCAATGTCATTGTATAGTGCAACTCAATGTTTACTTATTGTTAATTGTTACTGGATATTCGTGGTTTGACAAGGAATTTTATTAACGCTTGCTGGCTTTGTCATGGATATCTCAAGCATACAATCTACTACAACTGCGTAGTTTGTATTCTGACCGTTGATTAATACTGTACGTTGTAACATTGTCTAATATTTATAAAAATTATATAAACTGAATTACAAAATTATTTATCTAAAGTATATAAGTGAGCTTCAGAACTTTAGCCAGAATTAAAAATAAAATCTGAATTATTTTCTATATACAAAAGAAATAAATTTTTTTCAAAAGCGATTGTTTAGTCAACACAATCATTCAAATTAGATGCTTAGTTCTCTCAAATACTGCCATATTTTGTACATTTAGCTCTGTATCTGTATTTGAAATGGCAGGACCTGCCTTTGCCAAAAACTAATTCTCTCAAAAACTTGATTCCTATTTTCTGCACTCTCTGAGGTATGCCAAAATGTTCAGAAACCTTTGAAACTTGAAGATATGCAAAAATTTTCATACGGCCCATTACTATAACTCACCCTACGAGAAGTTAATGATATAATATTTTTTTTAGGTGATTCATCATTTAGTATGTTTTCATAAAGAATCAAAAAATAAAAACTTCGGTGTGTGCCCCATGGGAAAAAATCATAACATCCTTTATGTTGCAAGTGCATTGTGCAAAAATAAGCACATTAAAAATACCAATGTTGTTTTATCGATATTGGATGAAATTTATCAATGCGAAAATACTTTTGAACGTTTAATACTAGGAGCACTTTTTGGGAAGAAAGCTGCTCAGTTCTTCTTTGGTTGGCAAGGTGATGAAGAAACTAAGCAAGAAAGTATGGAAACACTAATGTATTTTGCTAATTATTCAAATGTTGGCAAACGTTTATATACATTTTACTCTTCTGCAACATTTTTCAAGAAAGTAGCAGTACCTTTTGTTGATCTACCTCTAGATTGTTGTTCAAAATCGTCTCCGCTAAGAATTGCATTACGCATTGGGATCCCGGAAATAGTTTTGTTGCTGTTGCAACTTGGAGCCAATACTAATCCCTGTGATAAAAACACAATGGTCATAGAAGATCTTATGAGTGATATTTGCAAAGAAAATGGTAAAAATATGAAACGCTTGCAATGCTTTACTATTATGATCAGAGCTGTATATACAGTGCCGCTTCGTAAAACATTTCAATGGTATACTTTGTTTGATATGCAAAAGTCATTTTTCAATAGATTTCCATGCATTCAGGATCTTAATTTATTGCCCGATTCAAGATGTGGGAAAACTCCTCCAGAATTAAAACATTTAGGTAGGTGTGTCATAAGGAATCATTTATCAAAAAATCTTAAACTTCCGTGGGGAATTAAACAATTAGGATTATCACAGAAGCTACAAAATTATTTGAACTTATTGGATGACTAAACAATTTTTTCTATGTAATGTGTCATAGACATAAACAATTAGTTTATGAATAATAATTATTTGGTATGTGAAATACGAAATTTACGATACACGTGTACTAAGTATTATACTCTAGAATAATTATTAAATTGGTAATTAGTTAAAAATTTAAATACATACGCTTTTGGACTATTCTAAATATGAAGTTAATATGAGATTTGAAAGTTCAAGAGTGCGAATGATGAACTCCGGCAATATTAATCATTAATAAAAACTATAAAGTGTTTATAGCGGTATATTACTGAAATGTTTTTGTGCTAATACAAAAATATACATTATTATTCATGAAAAATTGATGTTATTTATTTTTAACATGTTATTAATATATATGATAAATTGAGCGTTGAAGCAAATTACAAGAACTTTTCATTTTATAAACAAATAATATATTAATAAAAATAAAATCAACTAGCGTGTGACCTGTCATATCAAATTATCTGTAAAAGTAGCGGAATTTACTTATTGTTTAGTTTGCTACGTAAAATAAAAAGTGGTGTATGGCATCGTGCCTTGAGGAAAATTGCTGGAACTTCCCGTACTGTAATGAAATACGTTCGAAGAACATTAAATGTTTTCAAATAAATTATTATAAATACTCTAACTTATATATGTTTTCAGAAAACTAAATATTCCAAACTTCAATTAATCCAATTTAAAATGAAGGACATTGTCTAATATTTATAAGAATTATATAAACTGCATTGCAAAGTTAAAAATATTTATTTAAAGTATATTAGTAAGCTTTAGAACTTCAGCTAGAAAAAAATTGATTTATTTTCGATATTCAAAAAAAATTTTTTTTTGGAAATAAAGAAAAATATAAAAAGTTATTTTTCCCAAAAGCAATCGTTTCGTCAACACAAGCAGACAGTTTTTTGAATCATTCGAATCGGATTCTTAGTTCTCTCAAAAATTGCCATTTTTTGCATATTTAGCTAGGTATCTCCAAAACTGCTGGATTTGCCTCTGCCAAAAACTAATCACCACTTCTGCACTCTGTATTTTCGAAACAACCTGACCTGCCTTTGCCAAAAACTAATCACCACTTCTCTCTATTGCCAGCGGTGGCGATATCGGTTAGAGCGTGGGCTAGCAGCAACTAGTCCCAGGTTCGCTGGATCGATTTCCGCTACCGCCGTAGCCCGACATCAGGCAGCTTTGATGTCAAATTTCCACTTGGGGTTATAGATCACAATATAATTCCAAGTGGAAATCGTCCTTCGTGGACATAGCTGCAACATCCAATCACATGTTAACTTTTAGACGAAAGAGCTAATATCAAAAATATCCCACACATAAGAGAATGGTAAATCGATGGATTGCCTCTCATGAAATAGGTAGTCATAAGTCTTAACCAACAGCTTATAGAACATTAAGAGTTCTGAATGCTGTTCAAACAATATATGAAATAAAAAATAAAAAGACTTCTCCCTATCAATAGGGATCGAATGTTTTTAAACCATTCAAATCGGTTAATCCGTGTGCCCGAAAACGTGGACAAAAATTGTGGTAAATAATTGTTAGAAAATAATTATTAGTTAATAGTTAAATACTTAATACTTAATAGTAAATAGTTAATAGTTAATAGTAAATAGTTGAATAGAAAAATAGTGAATAGTGATAACTAAATACTTAATAGTAAACAGTGAATAGTCACTAGTAAATAGTGAATTAAAGAAAGAATAGTTACATAGCTAATAGTTAATGCTTAAATAGTTAATAGTTATTAATTAAATAGTTAATAGTTCATAGTTAAATAGTAATAAGTGAATAGTTAATATTTAATAGATAATAGATAAATTGTTAATACATAAATACTTAATAGTTAATAGTAAATAATAAATAATGAATATTAATGATATAAGAAAATAAATAATATAAATATAAATATAAATGTAAATGTAAATATAAATATAAAGTGAGTTGAACTCACATTCGCCAAATGAGCCAGTAAATGTGCGCATTCATCGGTAAATGTGCACATTCACCGAGATATGCACAGGTAATTAGTTTTTTGCACTTCTTGCCGGTCCAAGTGCTTTTCTGTTTGATAGTTTTCCGATTATTGCTTTGATTTTGCTAACTGTGGCAGGGTCTTTACGTAAGTCCTTATCGTTAAATTGTTCAGAAAATTTTTGAATAAATTCATGTATGTCTCGCCTCAAGACTGCGATTGGCACATTGGCATTTAGTTTGAGAATGTTTTAAAGTTTGTCGCCGATAGTTCCGCTTTATCTGCAGGTATGGTGGCGTAGTTGTTATCAGCCAGCTTGAGTGGCGTTATGGTTCTTGGTTTCCGCGTCAATCTTTTAGTACAAGAGTGCAGAAAATAGAAATCGAGTTTTTGAAAGAACGGAGCATCCGATTTGAATGATCTGAAAATCATTCAATTAGTAATGATTGGGAGAAGTGTTTATTATTATTGGTGATAAGAACGAATTTTTCACTTTTCTGTGGGATGCAAATGGATTAAACTTACTGTCAGCCAGTTTAAATAAAATACATATATTTGAACTAAGTAAGTTTTAATAAAAAAAAACTTCAATAACTCACAAACCTTCACAACAAAGTGGAGCTATGTTTTATAACGTACTTCCTGTACGGTGAGTTATTTTAATCGCAAAAAAATCAAAAATATATTTTTTATATATCTTTACGTTTTAAAAGACCTTTCAAACATCTAGGCATACCTTACCTTAGCATACCTTGTTAGAAAAAATGAACGCATGTGCAAAAGTGTGTATGTATGTGCGGATAAAATTTCTCGTCGACGAATTCGAAAACATGTATTATTCGATTTGAATGATTCAAAACATATTTGATTCATAATGATAAGGAGACGTGCTAATTAGATATTGGACAAATAAATTGCTGGAACTTTCTGCACCGAAATGAAATATTCGAGGAATATTGAATGTTTTCAAATAGCTTATTATAAATACTATAACTTTTGTTACTCATAGACAAAATATAAGAATTTGTCAATCCGATTTAATGTAACTTGTGATCAGCTTAATATCTGATAATTTTTGGGAAATGTCCAATTATAAGGGGCTTGCTCCGCTTCCGCAAAATCACATTGGTGATAGGCCTTTTCGCCTACTTTTCTTTCCAAATCTCAGATTGAAATTAGTAATCAGAAGAGGGTAGGCTCAATTAGAGTGTAGGTGCTCTTTAAGAAAAATAGGAAAGTGTTTTTCATTTTTAATAAATTTTAAACAATTATTAGTGCTGAGTTTAATTAGATGACATTAAAATACCTGTGTAAGCCTTCAATAATCAATTTCAAATACCATTATCTCAAGAAATATTTGCACAAAATATTTTCAAGAAATTATAGAAATCTAAGAAATATTAAGGGGCAGTAATTATCAATTTTATATCTACTCGCAAAAGAAGACATACCCAAGAATATAACCATAACCGGTCTGCATCCGTCGATTGCAGAATCCAAAGTCTTTGAAGATCTTCTGTCGAAGGGGATAAATGCAAGATAAATAGTGCAGAAAGGCGGAAAACCTTGGATGGTGGTCAATATAAGCTGACCGTATTTATTGTTTTCCTCGTTGAAGATCAAAAACAATTATTTTGTTAAGATAAGCAGAAAATTCTTTGAATCATTTAAATCGGACGCTTAGTTCTCTCAAAAACTGCCATTTTTTGCACATATAGCTCCGTATCTTCAAAATGGCTGAGCCTGCCTTTGCCAAAAACTATTTTATTTAAACTGGCTGACAGTAAGTTTAATCCAATTGCATCCCACAGAAAAGTGAAAAATTCGTTCTTATCACCAAACATTTTTTTATTGTATTTAATTAAAAATGTTTTCAAATGTTAAAAATAAAAGCAATACTACATAAATAAAGAAATTTTACTTCATAATAGATTAATAATTATGAGAGGAATGAAATCTAATTAGTTTGCACAACATAATAGTGCTTGAAATGATCAATGCATAATGCCTCATGGCAATTATCACATTGATAAAATGTATCTTTTCTTTTTTTTATGATAAACAAACTACACAGCATTTACGAGCTTTCTTTGATGAATTTGTTTCAAAAAGGATTAGAAAATGTTGACTCCTAAATCTTTCTGGCAATGATAAACATGGTGTAATTGTTTTTTTTTGTAGGGTATTGATTTTAGGTATATTTTTTTTCAAGTATTTCTTCCGCTAATTTTTGTTTGAACACGTGGAATACTCTGTCCATATAAATTGTTTTGTAAACAATATAACTGACAAATGCCCGCTCTGGTGATAGTGTCCAGGCAAAATGCGCGCATATGTGCGCTTATGATGCAAATGGGTTAAGATTATAGTACCTGTCTCTGGAGAACTTACGTGATTGTAGTTTGTAATATGTTTAGAAAAAAGATATATTATAGAGAAGATAGATTAAATATTGCGCACAATGTAAGTGATCGTAAAAGTATAAAAATGAAAGAAAATGCCTTAGAAAGAGAAGGAATGAGGCGGTGTATAGTTCCAGCCTTGTTGTTAATGTTTTCAAACAACACGCAATGACATTTATAATGGCTGTAGTTAGGAATTATCAAATTCATGTTTGCGTAAAGTTTTCTACTTGATATAAAATAGGTTATTGACTTGGCCCCATGTATAAAGTTAAAGTTTATACAACTACGGGGTAACTGTCAGTCGACCTTTACGATAATTAAAGACATGCCATTTACCCACACTCTAAGGCATAAGCGCCATCTTGTGACGCATGAAATTGCGTGACCGACAAACGTTTAAATCACACTCCCTCTTCTCTGCCTTTGGGTTGGTGTTCTTATCTTAACACTATTCAGGCATAACAGCAAGACCAAGGAAAACATTTAAATAGGCATCATGATATGGGTGAACTAACCTTGTAGCTAAATCGTATACGTCATTGGTTTAAATAAATGATAACTGCCGATTACTATTATCTGATATTCATGTTCAGCTTATGCGG